GCATGTCAGAGGTGACACGTGAACTCATTTTTTTGGTTGATTTTTCTTTGTTAAATGGCATTTAAATATATAAAACTAGAGGCCCGTTGCACAAAAATTTGTGCACTCAGGGGGGTCCCTCAGCCCGGCCTATGCCCTCTTGCAGTCTAGGACCCCTCGGAGGATATCCACCTGCTGGATTAGGCCCGCTCCCCAGGGGATCGGGCCTAAACTGGCAGTCAGACATCCCTCTGGCAGCCCAGGAGCCCTTGGGGGATGTCCACTTGCCAGCGGGGAGCAGGCCTAAGCTGCAGTCAGACATCCTTAGTGCTGCTGAGGAGGCGAGAGAGGCTCCCACCACCACCACTGTGCTGGCAGCCATCAGCCTGGCTTGTGGCTGAGCAGAGCTCCCCCTGTGGGAGCACACTGACCACCAGGGGGCAGCTCCAGCATTGAGCGTCTGCCCCCTGGTGGTCAGTGTGTGTCATGGTGACCAGTGATTCCCAGTCTTTCTGCTGTTAGGGTCAGTTTGCATATTACCCTTTTATTATATAGGATAGAGGCCTGGTGCATGGGTGGGGGCCAGCTGGTTTGCCCTGAAGGGTGTCCCGGATCAGGGTGGGGGTCCCGCTGGGGTGCCTGGCCCGCCTGGGTGAGGGGCTGATGGCTGTTTGCAGCTGGTCACACCCCCTTCAGGGTGGGGTCCCCACAGGGGTGCCTGGCCACCTGGGCACCTGGGTGAGGGGCTGATGGCTGTTTGCAGGCTGGTCACACCCCCTTCAGGGTGGGGGTCCCCACTGGGTTGTCTGGCCAGCCTGGGTGAGGGGCTGATGGCTGTTTGCAGACTGGTCAAGACCCGCCCCCCAGTGGGAACCCTCACCCCATGGAGGTTTGGCCAGCCTGGGTGAGGGCTGATGGTTGTTTTCAGGCTGGCCACACCCCCTTTAGGGTCGGGGGGTCCCCACTGGGGTGCCTGGCCAGTCTGGGTGAGGGGCTGAGGGCCATTTTCAGGCTGGCCAAGCCCTCCGGTGATGGAAGCTCCCAGCCTCTCCTTTTTTTCTTTTCTTTTTTTTTATTCTGGGATTTATCTACCTTCTATAATTGAAACTTTGTTGCCTTCAGTGGAGCTCAGAGCCGGCCGCGGCAGGCAGGAAGCTTGGCTTCCTCCATCACTGGAGCAACCAGGCCTCCTGCTCACTCCAGTTCCATGGCTGCCAGCTGCCATCTTGGTTGGGTTAATTTGCATATAGTCGCTCTGACTGGCTGGTGAGCGTGGCTTAAGGCATAGCGAAGGTACAGTCAATTTGCACGTTTGTCTTTTATTAGATCAGATAATAGTACCATTAACTTTTTCACTTGCTTATTAATTCTATAGCTAGTACTAGTTTGTAAAAATTTCAATAAACTTCTCTCCATATTTTCTACTTCCTTAAGTGCCTCAAGGATCATTTATGTTTAAAATAAAAGTTTCGTTAATCTAAAAACAACAAAATGACAGTATCCGCTCTCTCAAGTTATCATTATTAACATGAAAAAAAAAAAAGAACAAAACAGAAGTAATGAAAAAGAATAGCACGTTCCCCTGAGGTACTCCTAAAGTGTATCTACTATTTGGCTTTTTGTCCCTAGAATTCAGACAGATGGCAGCAAGGAAAGCCCTTGGTGGATTAGAATGCACCCATTGCTATCTGCCTCCATTAATTCAAATACTTACTGGTTTATGTTACTTTAGACAAGTGTCAATCTCTGTGTCTCAGTTTCTTCATCTATAAAATAAAAAATAAAAGAAATTAGTACTTCCCCTACCTCTTTCATGGAATTGTTGTGAGATTAAATAAGAAAACATATGTAACAGTATCCTGTAAAGTTCTAAATAAATGACACTATCATTACTCTATTAATTACCATGTACAAGAAAATATGATTCAAATTTCAGAGGAGAAAAAAAATAATATATGTAACAATAATTTATTGCTAAGATTGGAATCTGAGTACCTAAGGTTCAGTAGTAAAATATCAAACTGTGTTTTAGAAGAATTACATTATCTTATTTTTCTCTCTTTATCTCTCCCCACCTCCCTTTCCTCTCTCTAGAATCAATGAAAACATATACTTGGCTGAGAATTAAAAAAATAATAAAAATAAATTTGAAAAGTAAGAAAAATAATAAATGGCTAGAAAAAAGTTTAATGATATCTGGCAGTTAATACACACCAATGGAGAAGATTCCCTAAGATTATCACAGTCTCAACAGTGGCAAGTATCATAATCACGTATGGAGTTTTCACCTTACCAGAATCTGAGGGTGGCATTCAAACATATGAAACTTATTTTGTTGTTAATCCTCACCCAAATATATTTTCCATTAATTTTTTTAAAGCGAGTGAAAGGGAGGGTGAGACACACACAGAGAGAAACGTAGATATGAGAGAGAGAGAGAGAGAGAGAGAGAGAGAGAGAGAGAGAGAGAGAACACGATTAGTTGCTTCCACACATGCCGGGACCGGGACAGTGATTAAACCTGCAAGCCAAGTATATGCCCTTGACAGGAACTGAACCCAGACCCTTCAGTCCACTGGCCAACACTCTATCCACTGAGCAAAACTGGCTAGGGCAAACATATAAAATTTTCCAGCACAACTAGTAATGGTACTTCTTCATTTGCCGGAATATCATATTGTGTTCATTCTGGATTATCCATACCCAAGCATTTCTATTATTACATATAATTAAAAGGAAACCATATCATGAGTTTCATTACAAAAGGCAAATTGTTTTTACAGTAATATTTCATGTGTCCAAAAATATGGGTAATGCTAAAAAAGAACAGATGTTGATATTTCTAAATACCATTAATTCCATTTCAAAATATCTACACAATTTTACATTTTTCTTATAAGAAAACACATAGGCCAAAATCTGACAACCAGTGTAAAAATATGATTTTAAATAACTCAATCAACTAACATTCACTAATAAATATCTACTATAAATGTGAGGCATTTTGATGGGTATCATAGAGAGATTAAAAAATGTGGTCCCATGCCCTGGCTGGTTAGAGCATCAGCCTGCGCACCAGAGGGTCTCAGGTTCAATTCCCGGTCAAGGGTACGTACCTGCGTTGCAGGTTCAATCCCACATCCAGTGGAGTCACGTGCAGGAGGCAACTAATTGATGTGTCTCTCTCACATCCATGTTTCTCTCTTCTACTCTTCCCTCTCTTCCACTCTCTCTAAAAAAATCAATGGAAAAAATATCCTTGGATGAGGATTAAAAACAAAACAAAACAAACTTGGTCCTTCTCCTATTCCAGCTTATAATCTAAAGGAGGAGGCAGGACATATACACTAATACACTGTTTATTCAGAGTTGACCATCCAGGAACCTCACCCTTTCATTACACAAATAGAAAATAGTTAAGTAGGATACATGGCAGCCAAGTCAGATGCCACAAAGTTTACCCATTAAAGTGCATGCCCTTTCCTTACAGACAAAACAAAGCTGATAAAAGGAACCAATTTATTAAGAAATCTACTTAGCTTTTATTTAAGTTTGATAACTGCTAAATAATTAATGTTCAATGTCAATTTTTTTATAGTTAATGTATCATATACAATACAGTATTGGGGGAGTTTGTATATTTTAGGTAGTTCTGGGTTTATTTGCCCTCCAATTTTAAATCTGGAGAATCTATTCTGTCTTCAACTACGTTCTACCTATAGTAGTACATGGAAGCAATCAAAGATGAAGCCCTGGTAGCAAATTATACTAAGGATTGCCGCCTATGAGGAAAAATATATAGCATGTTGGGGACATTTCATATAACATAATAAAAGAGAAATATAATTTTAGTCTTTCAATTTATTAGCTAATGTTTTCACTATAATCTAATCTCTACTCCATCAATAAGGATCACTGATTTTGAAGTATTTATTTATTTATTTATTTAATCATCACCCAAGAATATATCTACTTACCTATTAATTAATTATTTTTTTAATCAACAACAGTGGGCATTTTTCCATTTATTTTTAGAGAGTGGTTGGGAGGGAGGAGGAGAAGAGAGAGAGAGAGAGAGAGAGAGAAGGAAGGAAGGAAGGAAGGAAGGAAGGAAGGAAGGGAGGGAGGGAGGAAGGGAGGGAGGAAGGGAGGGAGGAAAGGAAGATAGATTGATGTGAGAGAGACACATCAATTGGGTTGCCTCCCATACCCACCCCAACCTGAGCTGGGGATGGAGCCTGTAACTGAGGTATGTACCCTTGACCTGGAATCAAATTTGTGACCCTTTGGGCCACAGGCTGATGTTCTAACCACTGAGAAACCTAGCTAG